ATAAGGACTTTGTCTTTTACTCTGAGTGAAATGGCAAGCTGTTTGGAGGGTTTTGAGCAGAGGGGGGATGTGATCTTGCAGGTTTTAAAGAATCCCTCTGCTGAGAACAGAGTGGACGGAGATGGGGAAGGCCTGTGGCAGAAGCAGAGGAATTGTTAGGAGTCAGCCAGGCAAGAAACAACTAATGGCAGCTCTGATCCGGACAGTAGCAATGAGGGTGGTGAGAAGTGTTTGGATTCTGGAAGTATTTTCAAGGCAGAGCCAACAGAGCCTCCTAACCAATTAAATGTGGGAGATGAGAGAAAAAGTAAAGTCACTCCGGGTTTCTGTCTGAGTAATGAAAAAATGGTGCTATCATTAACAGATGGGGGAGGCTATGGGTGAAATCGTTTAGGGAAGTTAAGATCAGATGTTGTTTTGGATGTTTTGAGCTTGAGTTATCTTTTAGATGTCCAAGTGGTGATGTCAAGTGGACAGCTGAATAAATGACTGGGAGAGACCTTTGGGCTGGATCTCATGCCATCTCGTGCTTTAAATATATCCTCACTCATGTCCCCAAATCAGCTCTGACTTCTCCCATAAACTTCAAGTTCTTATATTTGACTACCTACTTGACTTCTTCACTTAGCTTTCTTTTTTTTTTTTTTTTTTGAGACGGAGTTTCGCTCTTGTTACCCAGGCTGGAGTGCAATGGCGCGATCGATCTCGGCTCACCGCAACCTCCGCCTCCTGGGTTCAGGCAATTCTCCTGCCTCAGCCTCCTGAGTAGCTGGGACTACAGACACGTGCCACCATGCCCAGCTAATTTTTTTGTAGTTTTAGTAGAGACGGGGTTTCACTGTGTTGACCAGGATGGTCTCGATCTCTTGACCTTGTGATCCACCCGCCTCGGCCTCCCAAAGTGCTGGGATTACAGGCTTGAGCCACCGCGCCCGGCCTTCACTTAGCTTTCTAACAGGCATCTCAAATTGAATATGTCCAAAACTAAATTCCTAATTCCCTGTCTCCCTACACAAAACACAAACAAATAAACAAACAACAATAAAACTCAGGAAACACAACAGCAGTTCCAATCTTCCTAAACTTTGAAGTTATCTTTGACTCTTCCCTTTTGGACTCACATTCAAACCATCCACAAATCCTGTTAAAACTGTCGCCTGGCTATCCCTACCATTCACATCACCATGCCCTGCTCCAAAGCAGGGCTTCGTCTCTTGCCTGGATTGTAATAATTTCCAAACTCTGACAGTCTGTTCTCCATAACTGACAAATTGATTCTTTTAAAATCAGAGCCTCTCAATCCTCTGCTCAAAACCCTTTAACAGCTCTTCATCTCAGAGTGAAAGCCTATAGGCCTCACAGGGTGTGGGCCCACCACCTCCAACTCACCTCTCCACCCACAACAGCTTTCACTCCTCCTGGCCCACTCCACTCCCGCCATGTGGCCTCTTCAACACGCCAAGCACACTCCTACCTCAGGGCCTTTGCAGTCATGTTTCCTTTGCCTAGACAGCCGTCTCCCCAGCCAGGCACAGTGGCTCACACCTGTAATCCCAACACTTTGGGAGGCTGAGGCAGGAGGATCCCTTGAGCTCATGAGTTGGAGACCAGCCTGGGCAACATAATGAGGTGCCCATCTCTACAAAAAAAGAAAAAAAAAATAGCTAAGTTTGGTGGAGCACACCTGTAGTCCCAGCTGCAAGTATGTTCCACCAAAAGGGCAGGAGGATTGCTGGAGCCTGAGAGGTCAAGGCTGCAATGAGCCATGATAGCACCATTGCACTGTAGCCTAGGAAACAGAGCAAGAGCAAGACCCTGTCTGAGAGAGAGAGAGAGAGAAAGCCCTTTTCCCAGATTTGCAAAATTTCCTTTATGTCTCTGCTCAAATGTCACGTTATCAAAAAGTTCTACTTCTCAAGTAAATCTACTTGAACTTAATTTGGCTATAAAATGAAACCAACTATGCCCTTGGAATTTTTCTGGGGTCTCGAGGGAGGGACAGTCTGTAAATAGAGAAAGTCAAGTTCTGGTTCTACTTTACAAAAGATCTAATTCTGATCTTCCTTACCTCGCTTCCTCTCTCTCTGTTACACTTATCAGTACCTGACATATATATATGTACATACACATATGAATTAATCAGTCAATGTTGGAAGGTTGAAAGCATGGCTTCTCTGGAACTTGAGAGTTCACGACACTAGAAACTGGCCAGGGAAAAGAAGAGACCTCAGCATGAGCACAACGTTTATGACACAACAGCACCACTACCACACATATCCATACACACACACACACACACATTAAATAACCTGGAACCGATGTAAATGTACAACAAAGGAAAATGATAAAGGGTGCTTGTGGGGTAGAAAAGTATACAGTTGTCAGATGGGTGTGGTGGCTCACGCCTATAATCCCAACACTTTGGGAGGCCGAGGCGGGGAGATCACCTGAGGTCAGGAGTTTGAGAACCAGCCTGGCCTACATAGTGAAACCCCATCTCTACTAAAAATACAAAAATTAGCTGGGTGTGGTGGTGGGTGCCTGTAATCTCAGCAACTCCAGGGGCTGAGGCAGGAGAATGGCCTGAACCTGGGAGGCAGAGGTTGCAGTGAGCCAACATCGCACCACTACACTCCAGCCTGGGCAATAGGCGAGACTCCATCTCAAGGAAAAGAAAAGTATGCAGTCATTAAAAACACTAATTACTGAAGACAGTAAAACGGTTATAGTATGTTATGGAACAGTAGTACAGTTAATTGTAAAACCGACTGGCTCTTAACATATAATTACATACAGTACTGCTATAATCACAGCAATGCAAAATACGTACATATAGGAAAGCTGATATTTAAAACAAAATTACTTATTATGTTAGACCTATTAAGGGGGTTATGGGTGGTTTTGTAATCTTCTATTCTTCACACACACATGAAAATTATACTATTTTTTCTATAAAAGGAAGACGTTTTACCTCCCTAGGCACATAGGTTGAGGAAAATCCCAGCCCAATGAAGTTAACACTCAAGTTCCCCAGAGACTCCCATGTGTGGGTGGCAGAAGGGTCTTGGGCCAGGTTTGTGCAGAAGGGCTGTCCCAGAGGCTGAAACGAGTGGTAAGTGAGGCATAGAACGTTTGCATGACTAACCCAGGGGAAAATACCCACCAGAGACTTATTTCTATTTAAGAAAAGAGAAATGCAGAAGTAAATCTACTTGAACCTAATATGGCTTTAAAACGAAAACAACTGTGGAGTTTTGGGAGGCTCTCCTTTGAGGAGAGAAAATCCAGTCCGGGCTCTAGTGACCTTCACTGCAGAACCAAACTCTCCTGCAGGGGTCCAGACTGGGGGCTTCGGGCCCTCAATGGGGCCTCAGTGCTAGTGGAAAGAGTTCTGAATCCATAAACCGGCTGAGCATTGACTTTAGAGCAGCCTTCTTAACCAAACTAAGATTATGAACCCTGGTCATTATTAAAACAACAAAACTTCTTCTCAGAAAAACTGCACATTTGCCCTAAAATGTGAAACAATCTCAGGAGTTTCATGGGCTCCCTGAATCCTATCCACTCCTAGCTGTCCCTGTATCCCACATTAAGAGCCTCTGATGGACCTGATAAATACAGTCTCCTACACATAATGTATACAATGTGTATGCTATTATTTTTCAAGTCTGTTGATAGAACTGTGATGAATAAATTCAAGTTCATTTAAAGGAATACTGAATTTAGAGATTTCTTGTTATATGGGATCTCCAGAGGACCGGTAAATGCCTGTGCAAGCCAAGGAACATGTAAAAAGAATCTCCTATCCCTGCAACAAAGCCTTCTTCCAAGCGCCGGAAAGGGGTCCTATTGGGACAGTTGCTCTGCAGGGCCCAGGCGTTGGAGGGCGCCGGGCTCCAGACCACGAGCTCTGAAAATCTGAGGCCCCGCCGGAGCTGGCGCAGGCTTTTCGGTGTTTTCTCACGGAAATGTTCAGCTGCTGGTTGGTTCACATGTATTTAAGTTTTATTCTCCAATTAGGACCGGGTTTTCCAGACGTGGTTTGTCAGCGTGTGCCCAGTTACCGGCGTGCGCCCAGGCGCGAAACACAGCCTTGGGTCGCTCCGGGTGAGTGCCCTGGGTGGAGCCCCGGGGCCGCGGCGTGGTGGCCGTCCTGCTCTGCGGGTACCCGCGGAATGCCCTACCCGCGAGCTCCCTCGCCTGGGCGCGCCTTGTCGCCATCCGAGTGCACGGCTAAGACCCGAGGAACTGCGCATGCGGCTCCGGCTCGGCGAAGGAATGGGGAGACAGCGAGGAGAAGGGGGCTCAGCACAGCCCACTCCCCATTACTCGAGCCTCCAGAACTATCCTCCCCCTAGCCCCTACGCCTCCTTCTATTCCTCCGAGCCCTCTCCCAAGACGCTCCTAACCTGATCGAGACTTTGGCACATAACCCAATTCTAGGAGCCCGGGCTGGCTCAGTACGACTCATCAGACACTTATCAGTATCTAACACACAATAGATTCGTGCACATCTGTTATATAAAGAGGAATTTAATTTTTGTGTTTGAAATGTGTCTGCTTCAACAACGCTTTGGCCCTTGTTAGAAAGGGTACGCTGAGTGTTATACTGCGAGGGAAGGGAGTCAAGGAGGGAAAGTGAAGGGAAACAGGCGGGCCCAGGGAGCAGCTTCCAAGTGAGCTGGAAAATCAGCGCCCAGAACTCATCAGGACACAATTTACTCAGTGTCATGGCATTCAGCGCTGATGGCCAGAACCGCGGACCTTGAAGAGCACTACGTGGGCAGCGTGGTGGGACAGGTGCCCTGGGATCGGGGAGGTGCAAAAGCCTGAAAGGAAGAGTCCAGGAGTGGACGGTCCCCACCTGACGACAGGGTAAAGGTCCGTCTCTACTGTTTACTAGAAAGGTGGAACCCAGGAAGCTTGAGGCCTCAGGAAACCGGCACAGGAGACCTGTCAAAAGGGCCCTGAATCCTCCCGCAGGGACAGAGCTACACGTCCACCTGGGCTCCGAGGACAGACCCAGGTTGTGGGGATACCGGCTGCCTGCAGGGGGCGAGATGTTCCTTTGGTGCTGCTGGGCTGTGACTAAAGAGCAGAAACAAAGATAGAAGCTGAGATCAACGGAAAGGAATGAGACTGAACAAACATATATATTAATCCTGACGGGACACATACTAAAATAACATTCACAAACACGGCAGTAAGAAAGGATGAACTATGAAAAGAATGTGCAGATAAATGAATGAAACTTCGGAGGACAAAAATGTAAGTTTCACATAGTATATAAAAATAAACACCAAGTGGATCAAAGTGCTAAATATTTTAAAGAACAGCCATAGGAACTATATATTTAATAGGATGAGGCAGTTATATTTATGGATAAATGCCAGCATTCTCAAGGCTTTGAAGCAACAGAAGAAACAAAAGAAGATTTATATTCAAAATTTAAAAACGACAGAATTTTTCTTTTGACACAAAGTCTTGCTCTTGTTGCCCAGTGGCACAATCTCAGCTCACTGCAATCTCTGCCTCCTGAGTTCAAGCAATTCTCCTGCCTCAGCCTCCTAGGAGTTCAAGATCAACCTGGCCAACATGGTGAAACCCTGACTCTACCAAAAATACAAAAATTAGCTGGGCATGGTGGCAGGCACCTATAATCCCAGCTACTCAGGAGGCTGAGGCAGGAGAATCACTTGAACCCGGGAGGCGGAGGTTGCATAGAGCCAAGATCATGCCTCTGCACTCCAGCCTGGGCAATAAGAGCAAAACCCTGTCTCAAAAAAAAAAAAAAAAAAAGCTAGAGTCTGCCAGACATGAAACATTATGTCTTCATTTGCAGTATGCCCAGTCCTTTTCTAAATAAGTATCTAAACGTGAATTAAAGTACTGTCACAGCTCAGAAAAAGGGTCATCAAAGTAAAGGCAAAAAGTCTTGAGTGGGTTTATCCAGTTTTGTAGTGTTTTGTTTTTGTTTTTTTGTTTTTTTCTGAGACAGAGTCTCACTCTGTCACCCAGACTAGAATACAGTGGCTTGGTCTCAGCTCACTGAACCCTCCACCTCCCAGGTTCAAGCAATTCAGCCTCCCAAGTAGCTGGGATTACAGGTGTCTGCCACCACAGCCGGCTAATTTTTGTATTTTTAGTAAAGACAGGATTTCGTCATGTTGGCAAGGCTAGTCTCAAACTTCTGACCTCAAGTGATCCGCCTACCTCGGCCTCCCAAAGTGTTGAGATTACAAGTGTGAGCCACTGTGCCCGGCCAGTTTTGGAGTTTTAAATACCATCACTTTTCTAGTGAGCCTCAAATAAATCCCTAACCTGAACCTCAGTGCTGAACTCCAGACTCAGACAGCCATCTGTCTACTTGACCTCTCTACTTGGATGTCTGATAGGCACTGCAAATTTAAGTGTCCAGGCAGGTGCCATAGTTCACGCCTGTAATCTCAGCACTGTGGGAGGCAGAGGCAAGCAGATCACTTGAGTTTAGGAGTTCAAGACCAGTCTGGGCAACATAGCGAGACCCTATCTCTAAAAAAAAATTTTTAAATTAGCCAAGCGGGCCGGGCATGGTGGCTCACGCCTGTAATCCAAGCACTTTGGAGGTCAAGGCAGGTGGATCACCTGAGGTCGGGAGTTCAAGACCAGCCTGACCAACATAGTGAAACCCCATCTTTAAAATAAAATTAAAAATTAAATAAAAAATGAAAAATGAAAAAAAAAAATAGCCAAGCATGTTGGGACATACCTGTAAGTCCCAGCTACTCAGGAGGATAAGGTGGAAGGATCACTTCAGCCAGGGAGGTCGAGGCTGCAGAGAGCCATGATTATACCTCTGCATGCCAGCCTGGGCAACAGAGCAAGACCCTGTCTCAAAAAAAATGTAAATACCCCAAACTGACCATTTATTCTCCATCCGCCCTCCCCAACACACACACAAAATGTAGTTTCTCTAACAACTAATAGCAAGTCAATTTTTTTTTTTTTGAGACAGAGTTTTACTCTGTCACTCAGGCTGGAGTGTAGCAGTGGTGCCATCTTGGCTCACCGCAACCTCCATCTCCCAGGTTCAAGCAACTCTCATGCCTCAGCCTCCTGAGTAGCTGGGATTACAGGCATGCGCCACCACACCCAGTTAATTTTTGTATTTTTAGTAGAGATGGGGTTTCACCATGTTCCCCATGCTGATCTTGAACTCCTGGCCTCAAGTGATCCACCTGCCTCAGACCCCCAAATTGTTGGGATTACAGGTGTGAGCCACCACACTCAGCCAACTAGTACCAAGTCAATTCTTTCATCTGTTCAGATAAAAACTTGGGGTCATCCTTGATTCGTCTTTCTTTTAAAACGTAAGTCAGGTCTTGTCAGTACTTCGCTTAAAACTATCCCATGTTCCCCCATTGATCAGATGTAAAAACTGACATGCTCACTATGCCCTAAAGGCTCCATGTGACCAGCTCTATCACCTCTGTGACCTCCTACTCTCCCCTTCCATCACCCCTCTAGGTCAAATTGGCCTCCTTGCCGTTCCTCAAACACACCAGACACGTGCCCACCTCAAGGCCTTTGGACTTGTTCCCTCTACTGAGAGTGATCTTCCCCTCCATACTCAGCCATAGTTCATGTCTCAGTTTGTTGAGGTCTTTACCCAAAAGCCAAAGCAACTTTCTCAGTGAGGCCTTCCCTATACAACCTATGTAAAACACATAAAAAACTCCCTGATTTGAATTTTCCACCTTAGCATTTTATTGCTTTTTCGAGACAGGGTCTCGCTCTGTCACCCAGGCTGGAGTACCGTGGCGTGATCATAGCTCACTGCAGCCTTGAACTCCTGGGCTCAAGCACTTCTCCCGCCCCATCCTCTCAGGGCCACAGGCATGTGCCACCATGCCTGGCTAATTTTTTATTTTTATTATTTATAGAGACAGGGCTCTCACTGTATTCCCAAAGCTGGTCTGAAACTCTGAGCCCTGCGCAATCCTACGCCTCAGCCTCCTAAAGCACTAGGATTACAGGAGTGAGCCACCGTGTCTGGCCCATTTTATCACTGTTTAAATATTTTTACTTGTTTATTTTGTTTACTGTCTGTATCTCCCTATTAGAATGTAATCCTATAAGCCCCAAGGGCAGGGATTATTGTCTATTTTGTTCACTGATTTAGCCCCAGTGCCCAGAATGGTGCCTGCCATCTGGTAGACACTTGATAAATATTCACTGAATGAGTAAGAGTGGGAAGGAAAAGCAGATAATAACCATGTGGTTCACGTGAGGTCAGGAGTTCAAGACCAGCCTGGCCAACACGGTGAAACTCTGTCTCTACCAAAAATACAAAAATTAGCTGTTCACAACAGTGAACACTCTTACTAGCAGAAAACTAATTTAGGGAGATTACTAAGAAAGTCAGGTGTGGTCGGTCATGCAAAAGATTCTACAAAACAGAACTAAATGTCTAGATCACCAAGATAGGAGCTGGGGGCCAAATAGTCTCTGACAGAGAAAACTGACTCCCTCCCTGACTCACAGTTTACATCCAGCTCCATCTTCAGAATCACAGTCCCCTGAAGGCTGAGAACTCCAGAGTCTACACATGCCCAGCCCCCATACATATCTTGGCCCCGGGAAGGTGGGTAAGGAGCTAACGGGACAAAGTATGTCTAAGGTATGTTCCTCTCAGCTGGGATGCTCTCAGGTAAGGCAAGGTAACAGAACACCCAGTTCAAACTGGTGTCAATAATAAAGAACATTTGGGAGGCTGAGGTGGAAGGATCACTCGAGCCTAGGAGTTCAAGATCAGCCTGAGAAACCAAGCAAGACCCTGTATCTACAAAAAATAAAAAATAAAAATAAAATATTAGCCAGGCATGGTGGCATGCACTTATAATCCCAGCTACTTGGGAGGCTCAGGTGGGAGGATTGCCTGAGCCCAGGAGTTCGAGGCTGCAGTGAGCTATGATCAGACCACTGTACTCCAGCCTGGGCAACAGAGTAAGCCCCTATCTCAAAAATAAATAAATAAAAATAAAGAACACATATTGTTCCAGAAAAAAAGTCCAGAAGCAATGAGGACTTGAAGAATGCTTTGATCCAGAGGGTCTCAACATCTTCAGGGGCTTTGTTTCTCTACACTGGCCCAGCTCTTCCCTCCTCTGTGTGTGTTGGCTTTATCCTTGGGTTGTGTGATGGTTAATTTTCTGTGTCAACTTGACTGGGTTAAGGGATGCCCAGAGAGTTGGTAAAACATTATTTCTGGGTGTGTCTGTAAGGGTGTTTCTGGAAGAAATCATTTAAATCAGTAGGCTGAGTAAGGAAGATTGCCCTCACCAATGTTGGATAGGCATTATCCAGTCCACTATGAACCTGAATAGAACAAAAAGATGGAGGAAGGGCAAATTTGCTCTCTCTGAGCTGAGACATTTTCTCCTGCCTTTAGAGGAGGAGCTCCTGGTTCTCAACCCTTAAGACTGAATTGTACCACCAGCATTCCTGAGTCTTCCGCTTACAGACAGCATATCATGGGACTTCTTGGCTTCCATAATAAAGTGAGCCAATTCTCATAAAAAATCCCCTCATAAATATATATCCTATTGGCTCTGTTTCTCTGAAGAATAGTAATATAGACTTTTTGTGATTTGAATGTGTCCTCCAAAGTCCATGTGTTGGAAACTTAATCTCTAGTGCAACAGTGTTGAGAAGTAGGAGCTTTAAGAGGTGATCAGGTCATGAAGTATCCACCCTCATGCATGGATTAATGCTGTTACCATGGCCATGGGTTATCTCAGGAGTGGGATCCAGATAAAAGGATGAGTTTGCTCTCGTGTCACTCTCACTTTCTCATGTACAAACATGCTTTCTCACTCATGTGATGCCTTCCATCATGGGATGATGCAGCAATAAGGTCCTTGCCAGATGCTGGACCTTGATATTAGACTCCTCAACCTCCAGAATTGTAAGCCAAATAAATTTCTGTTTATTGTCAATTACCCAGTGCTATAGTTTGAATATTTAACCCTTTAAACCTCATGTTGAAATTTGATCCCCAATGTTGTAGGTGGGGCCTAATGAGAGGTGTTTGGGTCATGGGAGCAAATCCCTCATGAATGACTTGGTGCAGTCCTTGTCCTGTCCTCATGGTAATGAATGAGTTCTTGATCTATTAGTTTCCATGAGAGTTCCCCTGAGAGCTGGCTGTTAAAAAGAGCCTGACACCTTCCTTCTCTTTCTTGCCTTCTTTCTCGCCATGTGACATCTGCACACAGTGGCTCCCCTTCACCTTCTGGCATGAGTGGAAGCAGCTTGAGACCCTCTCTGGATGCAGATGCTGGTGTCATGCTTCTTGTACAGCCTTCAGAACCATGAGCCAAATAAACCTCTTCTCTTTTATAAATTGCCCAGCCTCAGGTATTGCTTTATAGAAACACAAATAGACTAAGACACTTAGTCTGTGATATTCTGTGACAGCAGCATAGAATGGATTCAAACAAGGCTGTTTCTCCTTATAGTGGCAGAAATGGCTGCAGTTTTTAAAGATTTTACATCTTTTCTCTAGACTTAGAGACTCACTTTTTTTTTTTTTTTTTTTTTTTTTTTGAGACGGAGTTTCGCTCTTGTTACCCAGGCTGGAGTGCAGTGGCACGATCGGCTCACCGCAACCTCCGCCCCCTGGGTTCAAGCAATTCTCCTGCCTCAGCCTCCTGAGTAGCTGGGATTACAGGCACGCACCACCATGCCCAGCTAATTTTTTGTATTTTTAGTAGAGACGGGGTTTCACCGTGTTGACCAGGATGGTCTCGATCTCTTGACCTCGTAATCCACCCGCCTCGGCCTCCCAAAGTGCTGGGATTACAGGCGTGAGCCACCGCGCCCGACCTGAGACTCACTTTAAAGCAACTCCTGTGACCAGAGAAAAGTCCACACACAGCGGAGGGTAGAGCTGGCTTGGGCCATTCCCTGACCCAGAGACTGGGCCTGGGGATGGGATTTTTCTAACTGATTTAGGACACACCACTGAGGCTGGAAGTGAAACCAATCTTACTTAAAGAGCTCCTCCATAGAGAACTGTGTGTGAATGGATGGGAGGCCAACTGCAGAATCCATGACAAAGACATATCCACCCAGAGGGTGCAGGAGACCACTGTCTACTTATATTCTGACTTGGATCTAGTTATCCCTCTCCTCACCAGGGCCAGGCCCTGCAGAGGCTCACCAAATTTCTGCTGGGAATCTGGTGCATACCAGGCTGCCCCATCGCCTAGGTCCTTGGTCTGCACAGCGTGGAAGCCACATCAATCCTGATCTCTCTTAGTGCCTTTTCAATCAGCCCCATGATGCCCCCAACTCTTCCTGTCATCCTAGACTGACTCTCCTGTCATCCTAGACTAACCTCTCAAAAAGGTTAATCCAGATAGGGGCCTCTCCTGTGCTCTTGGGATGCTGCTGCCCTCTGTGCTTCCTGCTACTACTGCAGCACCCTGAGCCTATAGCACCTGGAACCTTGGTTCATTTATAGAGGGAGCTCCCTCCACCTTCTGCTTTAACTGAAACCTGGTTGAGGACATAGCATGAGGCCCTACTAACGACATAACCCACCTACCATGTGACAAGGAAGGTGGTCAGCATCCCCCGCCCTCACTGCCTCTTTCAGATCACCACTGTTCTTTGGACTCCCTCCCTCAGCACGGCCATCTACTCACTTCCCTACATTCACTGAGGACTTTGGCCCTTGACTCACAGGCTTCCCAGAAGAAATACTGCCATCATCCCGGGTGATTTAATATCCCTATGGATAACACCTTCTATATCTTAATCTTAAAGTCTCTCGCCCCCTTGTTTCCAATGACCTTAGCCCTTCTTACTGCTCAGGCCCCTCATCCCCTTGGTCACACTCTGAGGCCTGTCATCACCTAAAAGCAACACTCTGACAAAATCCGATTATCCAAACATAAGTGCCTATTCTTGCAGCTCCCTCTTCCTTATCTCATTACATCATGTCCCCTTAACCTTCCACCTTCTTGTCATCACGTAGTGCTGAGCAGTGCAGGGAAAGCTCCATTCCCCTGTGGACTGGCGCCAGGGTCCTCAACCCCCTGACATCTGGATTCTCTCTCTACTATACCACCGAAGCCACTAATGTCACCAGGAACTTCCTTGTTGCTATACTAGAGGGACGCCTTATCTTCTTCGTCCTCTCAGTACTTATCTTTTTAGGCCTCTTCTCTATGTTGACCAATTCTTCATTCTTGAAATCCTTTACTCCTGCAGCTACTAAATTGCCCGTCACCCCTCATTTTCTTCCATCTCTTTGAATGCATTTTCTTTCTTCTTGACTAATTCCTTTTCTTCCCATCAGCCCCATAAATGTTTCTGTTCCCAGGGCTCTGTCTTGGTTTACTTCTTCTTTCAAATTCTTCTTGGATTATCTCACTCATACCCAAGGTTTCAACAACCACCCAAAAGCCAATGATGTCCAAACCTAAATTCTGGGTCTTAAATGCCCTTGGGTCTTGCCACCAGCATGCCCTGCAGGGTCCTTAACTTTAGCATGTCCCAAATTGAACTTTCTATTCTCTACCTTAAACTCTGTGGGACATGGCAGAATTTAATAAAGACCAACAGGCTGGCCATGGTGGCTTATGCCTGTAATCCCAGCACTTTGGGAGGCTGAGGTGGGTGGATCAACTGAGGTCCCAAGTTCAAGACCAGCCTGGCCAACAAGGTAAAACCCCGTCTCTAGTAAAAATACAAAAATTAGCCAGGCGTGGTGACATGCACCCATAATCCCACCTTCTAAGGAGGCTGAAGCAGGAGAATCACTTGAACCCAGTAGGCAGAGGTTGCAGTGAGCTGAGATTGGGGCACTGCAGCACTGCAGCCTGGGTGACAGAGCAAAACTCGATCTCAAGAGAAAAAAAAAAAAAAAAAAAGCCAACATGCCAACATGTCACCTCCCTCCAGATAGAAAGGAAATTTGAATAGTACTCATTATTACTAATTTAAGATGTATTAAAATGTCCCAAATATCCCTTTTATTCAGTGAGTTGATGAATGTAAAAATATTTATAATCCTATTTTCTCCTTCAAGTCCTGAGTTGCTCAACAGTGAATTATCTTCCCACAGATGATTTCAGGAGGACAGGCTGTGCCTTGGCCATCCGCCCATCTTATATTGGCCTTAGACACAAATCATGGAGTAGAGAGCAACTGTCTGGTAAGTGGGTGCGTGGATTTGTTTGCATGCTTAGAAATGTATTTTGCCTTGATGCAGATATTATGCATACTATAAGAAGAGACTGGCCAGGCACAGTGGCTCACACCTGTAATACCGGCACTTTGGAAGGCCAAGGCAGGTGGATCACTTGAGGTCAGGAGTTCAAGACCAGCCCTGGCCAACACAGTGAAACCCTATCTCTACTAAAAATATAAAAATTAGCTGGCTGGGCACGGTGGCTCATACCTGTAATCCCAGCACTTTGGAAGGTGAAGGCGAGCAGATCACATGAAGTCAGGAGTTCCAGACCAGCCTGGACAACATGGTGAAACCCCATCTCTACTAAAAATACAAAAACATGTCAGGCATGGTGGCGGGTGCCTGTAGTCCCAGCTACTCAGGAGGCTGAGGCAGGAGAATCACTTGAACCCAGCAGACGGAGGTTGCAGTGAGTTGAGATCACGCCACTGCACTCCAGCCTGGGTGACAGAGCAAGACTCTGTCTCAAAAATAAATAAATAAATACAAAAATAAAAATTAGGGCCGGGCGCGGTGGCTCAAGCCTGTAATCCCAGCACTTTGGGAGGCCGAGGCGGGTGGATCATGAGGTCAAGAGATCGAGACCATCCTGGTCAACATGGTGAAACCCCGTCTCTACTAAAAAAATACAAAAAATTAGCTGGGCATGGTGGCGCGTGCCTGTAATCCTAGCTACTCAGGAGGCTGAGGCAGGAGAATTGCCTGAACCCAGGAGGCGGAGGCTGCGGTGAGCCGAGATCGTGCCATTGCACTCCAGCCTGGGTAATGAGCGAAACTCCGTCCCAAAAATAAAAAAAATAAAAAATAAAAAAATAAAAATAAAAATTAGCCAGGCATGGTGGCAGGTGCCTGTAATCCCAGCTACTTGGGAGGCTGAGGCAGGAGAATCAGTTGGACCTAGGGGGTGGAGGTTGCAGTGAGCTGAGATCACGCCACTACACTCTAGCCTGGGCAACAAAGCCAAATTTCATCTCAAAAAAAAAAAAAAAAAAAAAAAAAGGAAGGAAGGAGAGAAAAGAAAAAAAGAAAGAAGAAAGAGGTGGTGGCAGCAGCAATGGCTGAGTCACATGTAAAGCTGAAAATAAGTATGAGACCCAGCATGTCCTCTAAGGATACTCCCAGAGGGTCTCATATCACCTTTTGAACTGTGGGGTCTTCCCAGGCAGTTCCAGGTCTTATGTAAACAGACTGAGAATTTTCTAGAAAGGGAGACACCAGCTCTGGTAATGGAGCTTCCAAAACTGGCTAGGGAAAAAGCAGTCCCTGTTGATACAGTGCCTTCTGGGTGCCATTGTGATTGAGGGATGCGAAGTAATCTGAGGTCTCAGGATGAACAAAGCTTTGGATAACGTTAATTTAACCTACTTAGCTCGTCACCTGTTTTCTTGGTGTGTGGTGTAAGGAACAAAAAACCTAACCAACTACTTTAAGAAGCAAAAGTGGGGGTGGAAGCTTGTTAGAAGGATAATTGAGTGTTTCAAGTAGCAACTAAACCAGAAAAATAAAAGGGAAACACTGATTTAGGGCCTTGGTCAGATATGGCTGGAACCAAGGATTCAATGTCTAGTTCTCTGGTTTTCTCTGCATGCTGCCTTCAACATTCCCCACTGCAGCCTCAACTCCTCAGTGTGACTGAGCGCCACTAGCTCCCTGGCCTCATTCACATTCCACCTGCCACTGGCAGAGAGGGACTAGTCTGTTCTCACTCTGCTCTGAGAAGGGTCTCTGGCCTGGCTTGGCTCGGGGGCAGACCCCCAAATTATTGGTGGTTTGGCTATGAACAGATCTGATGAGACCTCTTGATTCAAGTCCACCACTGGACCAATTAGCTATATGCCATGGGGACAGGGTTGCATAGTACAGACCTGGTCATTGGGCACCCAGCCTGTGTAACAAGGACAATTTCCAGAGTAGAAGGATGTACAAGAATATTAGAATTCAGATTGCAATTCGAATATTAGAATTAGAATATGGGCAGCCACCCCTAGTGGGGATTACTACATCATTGCTAAGGAATTATTTTTCTTTTTTTCTTGAGACAGAATCTTGCTCTATTGCCCAGGATGGAGTGCAGTAGCACGATCTCGGCTCACTGCAACCTCTACCTCCCGGGTTCAAGAGATTCTCCTGCCTTAGCCTCCCAAGTAGCTGGGATTACAGGAATATGCCACCACATCTGGCTTATTTCTGTATTTTTAGTAGAAACAGGGTTTTACCATGTTGCCCAGACTGGTCTCAAACCCCTGGGCTCAAGCCATCTGCCTGCCTTGGCCTCCCAAAGTGCCGGGATTACAGGTGTGAACCACCATGCCTGGCACTAAGTATTTTTCAATCCTTTTCCCCAAACACAATCAAATAGCCTTAGCCTGTTGCCCATGATAATGAGGTCATGTGCCAAAGCACCGAAGAACATGGCTGAGCCCTTTCTCCTTGCTCTGTCAGCCCCTCTGGCCCCTTGGCTGTCTTCCTTCTCCTGGCTTCCAAAGCCTCAGCCCCTCTCCCAAGCTGCCTGCAAAAGTGTCTACTCAAACCCTGCCCTTTATGTTCCCTTCCTCTGAGTTGCTCTCTTTTCTTATTATGCCCAAGGGAGAGCCTTGAAACCTCCCAGAGGGAAACATCTACAGATGCAAATTTGCATACTCTCCATAAGAAGCCTGGTGGTTGAGGAAGGATTTCCTTTTAAGACCTGGTGCAGCCGAGCAGGGTGGCTCATGCCTGTAATCCCAGCATGTTGCGAGGCCAAGGCAGGTGGATTGCTTGAGCCCAGGAGTTCAAGACCAGCCTGGGCAACATAGCGAAACCTTATCTCTACAAAAATACAAAAATTTTCTGGGCACAGTAGCACTAGTAGTAATCTCAGCTTTTTGGGAGGCTGAGGCAGGAGAATTGCTTGAACCCAGGAGGCAGAGGTTGCAAGGAGTCAAGACCGCACCACTACACTCCAGCCTGGGCCACTGGAGTAAAACCCAGTCCCCAAAAAAAGGAAAAAAACAGGCCAGGCGCAGTGGTTCACACCTGTAATACCAGCACTTTAGGAGACTGAGGCGGGTGGATCACAAGGCCAAAAGATGGAGACCATCCTGGCCAACACGGTGAAACCCCATCTCTACTAAAAATACAAAAATTAGGCCAGGCGCAGTGGCTCAAGCCTGTAATCCCAGCACTTTGGGAGGCCGAGGCGGGTGGATCACGAGGTCAAGAGATCGAGACCATCCTGGTCAACATGGTGAAACCCCGTCTCTACTAAAAATACAAAAAATCAGCTGGGCATGGTGGTGCGTGCCTGTAATCCCAGCTACTCAGGAGGCTGAGCCAGGAGAATTGCCTGAACCCAGGAGGCGGAGGTTGCGGTAAGCCAAGATCACGCCATTGCACTCCAGCCTGGGTAACAAGAGCGAAGCTCAGTCTCAAAAAAATAAAAAATTATAAAAAATAAAATAAATAAATAAATTAGTTGGGCATGGTGGCATACGCCTGTAGTCCCAGCTACTCAGGAGGCTGAGGCAGGAGAATCACTTGAACCTGGGAGGCACAGGTTGGAGTGAGCTGAGATCATGCCACTGCACTCCAGCCTGGTGACAGAGCGAGACTCCATCTCAAAAACAAACAAACAAACAAAAAAAAAACCTGGTGCAGAAGAACAGGTAAGGGGAAAGGGCATTTGTGTTGCAGACTCCCCAAATGGGTCTGGATCTCTCCTCAAGTGAGGGTATTTTTTGCCCTGCTAGCTGTGTGAGCCAGTCCATGTGTGTGTGTGTGTGAGAAAGAGAGAGAGAGATCATGCATGAGCCTTCCTGTCAAAGGTTTTTTGTTTTTTTTTTTTTTTTTTAAGATGGGGTTTCACCGTATTGGTCAGGCTGGTCTCGAACTCCTGACCTCAGGTGATCCGCCCACCTCAGCCTCCCAAAGTGCTGGGATTACAGGCGTGAGCCACCGAGCCCAGCTCTTGTCAAAGGCTTTAAACACAGTCACCTGTGGATGGCCTCAAGGCATTCAATCCATGTGGCTACAGCAGTATTAGTTAAAGAAAGCAGAAAGTTAACCCTTTGAAGGAAAATTAATAGTAAGCAAGCCCCACCAAGTGTGTGAGTTACGGCAAAGTTTCTCTTCAAAGAGCCTGCTCAACCTTTTATTCTTTAATTCCCAGTACCCCCACACTTTCTTCTCCTTTTCTTCTTTCTGACTTTACTACATGCCCAGGCATGCCACAGCACCAGTGGTGTTATCAGCACCAGCTCACATTCCTTTCCTAATTTAAGAAAAGACTGGCTCTCTAGTTCACTGCATGGGACCCCTTCCTCCTCTCCCCTCTCTCTTGTTAGGTGTCCACTTTATCCAAGAAAGTTTAAATGAGCCAGGCATGGTGGCTCACGCCTGTAATCCCAGCACTTTGGGAAGCTGAAGAGGGCGGATCACCTGAGGTCAGGAGTTCGAGACCAGCCTGACCAATATGGTGAAACCCCATCTTTAAAAAAAAAAAAGAAAGTTTAGATGTTTAGCCAGTCAAGTCTAGTTTAAATTGTGCAGTATGACCCCAGTCAAGGGGGAAGGACATCGGGGCAGGAGTCATATTAGAAATAAAAATTTCAACTCTCCTTTGTTCTGGGTGCTCTCATGATGGCCAGCCCTGTGAGAAGCACCCTTTCTGCAGAAAATAAAATTGCCTTGCTAAGAAAACTTTGTCTAAGTGCTAGTTCTTCTTTGTGGCACTAAGGAACAAGCATTTGTTTCTAACAATTTTGGGGGCTCATCTGGGGTTCCCATTCTCCTTCAGGAGGGGGGTCTTCAGTCACCCCACCCAGGGGGAGACATGTCCCACTGTCCCATTGCAGTGGCCTCAGGAATAGGAGATCAAGACCCACCTGTTGTGATGAATAAATCCAGGCTCTCAGCAACACAGGGAGAAGCAGCTTACAACACCACGGCAACCAGGTAACTGCACAGACCAAGGTAAGAAACATCGCAGGTTGAGGCACCCCCACACTGCCCCAGCACTCCCCCAACCCCCCACACCTAGGAGTGCTAGAAACCTCCAGCAAGGGGGTGTTGAAAATTCCAAGGAAAAGGCCTATTCTACTTAGGCATCACCCCGAACCTTCAAGATAATGAAATTCCTCCTGATAGTCCCCTAAGGCTTATGTTAAAATATTAGAAAGATAATGAAAGAACCAAACACAAAAGAAAGCAGCAAATAATAAAATATTGTTGTTTTATTTGGAGGGCCCATCCTTACACCCTTAGTCTTCTGGCCAAAATTTAGGCCTGATGAGGAGTGGATTTTTTTTTTTTTTTTGAGACAGAGTTTCGCTCTTGTTACCCAGGCTGGAGTGCAATGGCGCGATCTCGGCTCACCGCAACCTCCGCCTCCTGGGTTCAGGCAATTCTCCTGCCTCAGCCTCCTGAGTAGCTGGGATTACAGGCACACACCACCATGCCCAGCTAATTTTCTGTATTTTTAGTAGAGACGGGGTTTCACCATGCTGACCAGGATGGTCTCGATCTCTTGACCTTGTGATCCACCCGCCTCGGCCTCCCAAAGTGCTGGGATTACAGGCTTGAGCCACCGCGCCCGGCCTGTCAGCTCTTAATGGAACATGTTCATGATAAAATCCTCGTCTCCCAGGAGGAGATAGACTATGCTCTTTGTTAGAGACAAGGACCTGTCCTCCTTTACCCCTTAAAAACCAGAATGAACAAGCCAGAAACCAACTCCTCTGAAAGACAAAAAGTCCCTGTTTCTAAATAACCTGCACCCACCAACACATGGGATCCTCTAGACCATCTTGTTCCCTTCAGTTTCCCCAACGCTCCCTTCAGGCAGCTGTGCACTAAAAAGTAAACTTTTATATGACAAACTTACCCAGTGGAAACCTGACTGTCTCTTGTAGACTTCTGAGGAAATCCATCAAGTTGAGGAATTAAAAGAGATGCTCATAACTGCCCCTATTCTAGCCCTACCCTTCCTAGAAAAGCCATTTCACCTTTTTGTTAACGTGAGTAACAGGGTACCTTTAAGAGTGCTTACCCAAGAGCACAGAGTCCACGGCAGCTCGTGGCCTTGCTGTCAAAGGTTTTAAACCCAGTCACCTGTGGCTGGTCTCAATGCATTCAATCCATCGTGGCTACAGCAGTATTAGTTAAAGAAAGTAGAAAATTAACCTTTGAAGGAAAATTAATAGTAAGCAAGCCCCACCAAGTTAGAACTATCTTAAATCAAAAAGCAAGGAGGTGGATCTGACTCAAACATTTTAAAGAGTGAGGCTATTCTGCTAGAAAAAGATAATTTAACATTAACCACTGATATTCACTCAACCCAGCAGGTTTCTTAACGAGGAATCCAAACCTATAAAGGAGGCACACATGTTTAGATTTACTTAATTACCATATGAAGGTCTGGCCAGACTTAGAAGAAACTCACTTCAAGACAGTGTGGTGCTTATTTATAGATAGGTCCTCCCAAGTAATTGAAGGGAAAAGACATAATAAGTATTCAGTAACTAATGGAGAAACTCTTGAAGAAGTAAAGTCAGGAAGACTACCCAATAATTAGTCTGCCCAAACCCGTGAACTGTTTGCACTCATCCAAGCTTTGAAACATTTACAGAGCCAAGAAGGAACTATCTATCCTGATTCTAAATATGCCTTTGGAGGGGCTCATACATTTGGAAAAATTTGGACTGAGAGGGGTCTTATTAACAGTAAAGGCCAAGGTCTAGTCCACAAACAACTAACTGTTCGTGTCCTAGACAATCTCCAGGTGCCAGAGAGATAGCTATTGCACATGTCCCAGAGCATCAAAAAGACTTTTCTTTCACAAGTCAGGGAAATAACCTTGCAGAGCAGATAGCCAAACAAGCTGCTGTTCCTTCTGAAATGCCTGTCTTTCACTTAAGTCCTTGCCTTCCTTCCCCTACTGCAGTCCCCATCGTCTCTTCCAATGCAAAGAAAAAGTTAATAAAAATAGGTGCTGAAGAGAACACAGAAGGAAAATGAATATTACCAGATCAAAAGATGTTACCCAAACCTCTCACGAGGGAGGTTTTGACTCAACTACATCAAAAAACCCATTGAGGACCCCAAACTATGTGTAATGCAGTTCTGAGAGTTTATAAGTGTATTAGAGCCGGGCGTGGTGGCTCACACCTGTAATCCTAGCACTTTGGGAGGCCAAGGTGGGTGGATCACCTGAGGTCAATAGTTCAAGTCCAGCCTGGCCATCATGGTGAAACCTCATCTTGTAAAAAAATAAAATAGAAAAGAGAAAAAAAAATTTTTTTTTTTTTTTTTGAGACAGAGTTTCGCTCTTGTTACCCAGGCTGGAGTGCAATGGCGCGATCTCGGCTCACCACAACCTCCGCCTCCTGGGTTCAGGCAATTCTCCTGCCTCAGCCTCCTGAGTAGCTGGGATTACAGGCGCGCGCCACCATGCCCAGCTAATGTTTTTTGTATTTTTATTAAAGACGGGGTTTCACCATGTTGACCAGGATGGTCTCAATCTCTTGACCTCGTGATCCACCCGCCTCGGCCTCCCAAAGTGCTGGGATTACAGGCTTGAGCCACCGTGCCCGGCCAATAAGAAAAAAATTTTTTTAAATGTATTAGAATTTATACCCTAGCCAAACAGGTCACAGATAGTTGCCTAATATGCAGGAAAACTAATAAACAAGCCCTGGAAGCCTATAAGACTCACAGCAGATCTCTCAGCAGAAACCCTACAAGCTAGAAGAGAGTGGGGGCCAATATTCAACATCCTTAAAGAAAAGAACTTTCAACCCAGAATTTTACATCCAGCCAAACTAAGCTTCATAAGGAAAAATAAAATCTTTTGTGAACAAGCAAGCACTTAGAGATTTCATCATCACCAGGCCTGCTTTACAAGAGCTTCTGAAAGAAGCACTACACATAGAAAGGAACAATCAGTATCAGCCTTTCTAAAAAATACCAAAAAGTAAAGAGCATCAACATAATCAAGAATTTACACCGGGCGCGGTGGCTGAAGCCTGTGATCCCAGCACTTTGGGAGGCCGAGGCGGGTGGATCACGAGGTCAAGAGATCGAGACCATCCTGGTCAACATGGTGAAACCCCGTCTCTACTGAAAAATACAAAACATTAGCTGGGCATGGTGGCGCGTGCCTGTAATCCTAGCTACTCAGGAGGTTGAGACAGGAGAATTGCCTGAACCCAGGAGGCGGAGGTTGCGGTGAGCTGAGATCGCGCCATTGCACTCCAGCCTGGGTAACAAGAGTGAAACTCCATCTCAAAAAAAAAAAAAAAAAGAATTTACATCAACTAATAGGCAAAACAGCCAGCTAACATTAAATGGCAGTATTAAACTCACATATATTATTATTAATTCTAAATTTAAATCGACTAAATCCCCCAATCCAAAGACACAGACAGGCAAAAAAAGCCAAAACCCATCGGTATGCTGCATCCAGACCCATCTCACACGCAAGGATACACAAAGACTCAAAACAACGGGATGGAAAAAGATTTGCCGACCAAATGGAGAGCAAAAATAAATAAATAAATAAAAAGCAGGAGTTGCTTTAAAGCAACAAAGATCATAAGAAGCAAAGAAGGATATTACATAATGATAAAAGGATCAATGCAACAAGAAGACCTAAAGATCCTAAATATATACGCACCCAATACAGGGATACCCAGATATATAAGACTTATAAAGAGACTTAGAGTCCCACACAATAATAGTGGGAGACTTCAACATCAATATTAGACAGATCAATGAGACAGAAAATTAACAACAATATCCAGGATTAAGTAAACTTAATAAACATTTATAGAACTCTCCACTTTAAATACACAAAATATACACTCTTATCAGCACCACATCACACCTATTTACAGGCTTAAATGAAATATTGGTTGGCTGCTTGTTTGTTATTTTCTTCCCTCATTTTTTTCATGTCTCTATTATTAAGCACAATTATAGGCATACCCATTTTTAGACTGCATTCTAGCCCAGGCAATAAAGCAACACCCCCGTTCTCTCTCCCTCTTCCTCTTTCTCTTTCTTCCTCTCCTTCATTCTTTTTTTTTTTATTCTTTTTTTTTTATTCTTTCTTTCTTCTTTTTTTTAAAAAAAAAAACAAAACAAAACAAAGTTCTGTTTGACAAAATAGAACTGTTATCATTTTGAAAGTATCAGTAGCTATAAGAGTTTTCGAAAAGGGCCAACAAAATTTAAAAAATAAAAACAAAAAGGAAAACTAATGAACAAGCCCTAAGAAAATCACCCCCTGCCAGGCGCGGTGGCTCATCCCTGTAATCCCAGCACTTTGGGAGGCCGAGGCGGGCAGATCATGAGGTCAGAAGATCAAGACCAACCTGGCCAGCGTGGTGAAATCCCCTCTCTACTAAAAATACCAAAAATTAGCCGGGCATGGCAGCGTGTGTCTATAGTCCCAGGTACTCGGGAAGCTGAGGCAGGAGAATTGCTTGAACCCGGGCAGCGGAGGCTGCAGTGAGCCGAGATTGCACCACTGCACTCCAGCCTGGGGACAGAACCAGACTCCATCTCAAAAAAAAAAAAAAGAAAGAAAGAAAGAAAATCACTCCTCAAAGGAAGAGATCCAAGGCTAAGACCATCCCAAAGTGTTCAAATTAATTACACTAAAATGCCTCCGATCGGTCACCTGAAGTAATTGCTAGTAACAGCAGATCACTGTACTGAGTAGAGGCTATTCCCTTCTCAAGCACAATCGCTAGTAATATAGTTAAAGCATTCATTGAAAACATCATACCCAGATTTAGACTAGCAGGAAACATTAATTCAGAAAATAGAACCCATTTCAAGGCAAATATTATTAGAGAATTAGCCCAGGTGCTAAACATAAAGAACACCATATCCCTTAGCATCCATCCTCTTCAGGAGGGGATGAATCAAACTCTAAGGAGTCACCTAACCAAATTAGTCCTAGAAACCCAGTTACCCTGGACTAAATGCCTCCCCATTGTCTTGTTAAGAAT